CCTGGCCCTGCGGGCACATTCATGGTGGCCAGAAAGCTCTGGAGGTCGCTCAGCTGGATGGGCTGGGTCGGGCTGGCTGCTGTGCTGGTTCCATTACCTGAGCTGGGTGCGGGGCTTGGGCTGGTCGCCGAGGCAGCTGCTGGGGCAGAAGGGGCTGGGGTGGCGCGAGCGGAAGAGGTGGTGGAGGATGGGGTGACGGCTGCCGACTGGCTCCGGGAGCTGGACGAAGAGCTGCTTGCCGGAGGCCCGCTGCTCCCCAGCAAGCTGGCCAGGCCTGGTCCAGTGAGGGCTCCAAGCCCACCCAGTCCTCCAAGGCCGGCTGGTCCGATGAGCTGCATGAGCTGGCTATGACTCATGTTCCCCAACAGGCTCTGCAGGCCACCCTCACCGCCCAGTGCCGAGAGCTCGTGGCCACCACTCCCACTTGCACCCAGTGCTCCAGGCATGGGGGGGTTGTTCAGACACTCATTGACTTTCCGACAATGCTCTTCATCTTGGTCAGTCGTGGGCTCCTGCATCCAAAAGAAGAGCCTCTTGGACCCCGCCTTAAACTTGAGCACGTAGACCCTCCCGCTGGGGCACTGAGGTACCCGCTTGAACTCACAGTCATCGGGAAAGATGATCAAGTCATCCTCCACGGTCCCAGAGGTCCTGTCTTTCCAACAGAAGTGAATGAGGGAGTCGTCCGTCTGCTGGATGTACACGAGCCCTTTCCGTTTATCTGGGGTGACCGTAGTTCCTTTTAATGACATTTTTCCTGCCCGGAACTCCACCAGATACTTGGTGGAGGATCCCCGAGAGCCGGGCACCAGGCTTGGGAACAGAGCGCCTGAAGTCGTCATCCTGGCTGTGCTCACACTCGGCCTTAGGGGCGCCGTCCGGGATCGCTCTTCCTTCTCGGCCAGTCGCATGTTTTTTAACCCATTAAAAATTTTAATTAAGAAAGGTAATCGAAAAACAGTATATCTTTGTATCTGTCATACTGCACTGTTGTCATTTTACTCAAAATAACTTAACTCTTTCCATCCACCAATGAGTTATAAACTGAGCAAGGCCACACTAACAGAAAACTGGAAATTAGCAACATGCTGGAAATCTTACAGAACAGACATGACATCAGCATCAGAGGACCATTTAATCTGTTCCCAGAAAGTCATTCAGATGATGAGTCTAAACTCCTATCTGATTTTTTTTAAAGTGGGACTAATACTCAAATCAGAGCTAAGTAACCATTCGAACACTGAAATTTCTAACCTTCCTTAAAAGTCTTTATCTGCCCCAGGATATTTAAATAAATCATGTCCACCAACTAGAAAAATATTCCAGCAGTTAAGAACACTGGCTGCTCTTCCAGAAGATACAGGCTTGATTCCCAGGACCCATTTGATGGCTCACAACCATCTGTGACTCCAGCTACAGGAAATATGATGGACTTTTCTGGCTTTTATGGGTGCCAGGCACTCACAAGGTACACAGATACACATGCAAGCAAAATACCCATATACATTTCCATTCTAGGAATGAAGGTGTAAGAAATATATAAATAGAAAAGTGAAAATGTTAAAAATCATGAGCCCATGAAATAGAGAAAATCATTCAAGAATATTTTCTCTTACATTATACAAAAAAAGATTAGAAAAATTTCTGGCTTCCTAAATATGTTGGCCCATGTTTACCATATATATTTAATTTTTAAATCCCACTTGTAGATAAAGAAAAGATAATATTCCTCTAATTTAAAACTTAATAGGCAATCTACAAGTAGAAAGGAGAGAAGTTTAAATGTTAAGATATATTCTAATGAGTAGTACCCCCACAATCTCACACACACACCCCACCCATTAAAAGACTTATAAAATAAAAAAGACATAAAAACAACTCACAATGCCAAAATCTAGATCCAAACACAGCTACTGCCAGATTGTTTAATGAATCCCCACTAAGTCCGAGGCTGAAAGAACAGACTTAAAACTTCACATAATGATATAATGATGCTGTTCCAAGGGAAAGCCACCTGTTATGTAGAAAAGGTACAGAAAGCCTCTCCCCTTATTTTTCTATACCCCAAAGAAGCAATGCTGAACAACACTCAGGACCACGCTGATGCTATTAGCCCTCCCAGTGTATTTTTCTCCTCATGCAAATATAAATTGTCCCATGTCCATTAGAACAGAACTTCAAACTAAAGAAGTTACTTGAAATCAGAAGGTACAAAAGAAAGAATTGACAATACAATCACCTTTTGTAAAATATCATAGATAAAAAAAGAGCAATCATGAAAACTGATTTTTATTTGAATACTCAGGTTTTTCTCTGTATACTCATAAAAGTAATTTCCAACAGCAAAACTCATAAAATAATTTATTTAATTATCACCTGGATATTGAGGCAATAGGCTAAGAAACATTCCTTGTATTCCAACAGTGGGCAAACAATGGGTCTGGATAGAGTTGTTATCCTGTAAAGCAGAATAAACAAGAAAAAAACTGGGGAGTGGGGGCACTACAACAAACTAAAATCAAGAAGTTCTCAGTACATCCTGACAGCCATAGAAGCACATAAAACAAATGGCTTCTTGCAACAGTAAAAGAAATCTTTCAAGGGAAAACTGGCTGAAAGAAAGCCATTGATATAAGATTAAAGGAACCAGGGAAAGTTAAAAAAACATGCCAGGAAAACAAAAATGTTGTAACAAAATCAAAAATAAAGGCACAAGGTTAGTAATAATTGATATCACATAAAATAAAGTCAGAGGCACAAAAAAATTTCAGACATGCTTTTCAAGGAACATGGGACTCACAATAACAAGACTGGAATGACTGAGAATAGATGATAAATAGGAAAATAATGAGAATGGGATTTTAGCCTCAAAATTACACAAAGCAAACAAAAAGAAAAGAAGAGGGAGGAGGAAAAGGGACAGAGAATATGAATGAGAATGAGAAAATGTTCTTTATTGGAGGGAAAACATTGAGAACAAAACAGAAGAGTTTACAGCAATTGGTACTAGAGTAGTCGGGCCAATAAATGACCCTTAGGTAGGAACATATTCTCACAGAGCAGAAGTGGGAAAAGGAGCAGAATAAAGACCTTATTTAAAAAAAAAAACAAACCAAAAATCTGAAGAGTTGCATAGTTTCTATAACACTAAATGGCAGAAAACTCTGAAACAATGTCTATAGAGGTTTTTAAAGGAAAAGAGTGTTCTTTAGAAACAACATAAGTCTTCACATTTAGAGACCAGAAAACAAAAGTCCATGATTGAGGCAGTCTATAAGACTCCTCCAATAGGCATAATGAAGTCCACTGAGTGGATTAAGACAGAAACATAGCCTCTCAGTTCTAGAAGCTGAGGCTAAAATCAAAGTATCTGTGGGGCCATGATTTCTGTGGTCTGGGGAATGAAGGCTCCTTGACTATTCCATGGTCTCTGGCTCTCTTGGGGAGGCCTGGTCTTTGAATTGCCCTATTGTGGGGGTTACCAACAATGCTTGGCCTATGGAAATACTATTTCACATTCCTCCTCTGCTGGAAAGTGGCATTCTTCTTATGTGTTCCAAGTCTTAATAATCAAATTCCCATCTTCTTAAAAGACAAGAATCATTAAACCAGATTCCACCTAAATTCAGGGCAACTCACCTTAACCCAGTATGGTCCCACTTTATTCTGACTGAATGTGAAAAAGATCTGTGGAGCTATGGCCAGAGGCACCAGTTTCAGATGTTAGCAATACAATTCTACTTGTTATAGGGGATAAATACTTGAGGCTCACAAGAAGGAGTAGAATTTCCAACTATAAGAATAAGGAAAATAAAGCTGGGCGGTGGTGGCGCACACCTTTAATCCCAGCACTTGGGAGGCAGAGGCAGGCGGATCTAGAAGAGCTAGTTCCAGAACAGGAACCAAAAAAGCTACAGAGAAACCCTGTCTCCAAAAATCAAAAAAAAAAAAAATGAATAAGGAAAATATGAAACATTCAGTGAATCTTGATTCACTGAAGACTTTCCTCAGGCCCAGTGTTATTAATCAAGCGGGCTGGAATGTGCATAGGCACACTGTGCAGACCTAGGACACACAGGACTCCACAACAGCCCTTGAGCTGCATCTCTTCCTGGTTCCCTTGCCTAGAAGCTAAATCACGACCAATGTATTTTAGACAACACCAGTATCATTCTTTCTACCACTTACTAAGAGTGGCTCAACTATTTTAAACACATTTGGTAAAGCATTTCAGACTTAGTAAATGAAAAGTGCATTATTTTTTTCTCTTTCTCTAAAAAAGTAACGTAGAAAATATAAATTGTAATTAAGTTGTGGGTTTCCTTCAGAAATTGAGAAATAATTTTTTCACATATTTAAATCTCATACTAAACTATATGATTCATTAGATTTTAATAAATTCTTCTCTGGCCTGAATTCTGTGACTGGACCTGTATTAAGAATACTTCAAAGAATTACTGTCAGCAACTCTGAGCAAGGTGAAACCTCTCTGACCTTCAGACAAGGTGGAAATAGGCTCACGTTTTTGGGTCTCCACACATAGTCAAGCAGTGTATCTCCTTCTAACTATTCATTTTTAATTTATATTTTTTAAACTGGATTACAAAGTGGTAGGTCGCTTTCTAGTCAAATAAGCACTGTAGAGCTGGGTGATGAAGTGGTGGGACTCTATAAGGTTAGACTCCGGGTCAGGCTCAGGGACTTTTGGAATTCTGAGGCCTGATCTATATGAAAGATCACAGATTGTTGGATTCTGTTTCTTGGTCCTGGTCTAGGGGCAAGGCAGTGTCAGGGTGTTCTTTCCTTGGATCGTTTACCCTACAGGTACTACAACTAATCTTGATCTTTTATAAAGCCAAGAAAATGAGTAAGCTTTACTAAAGGTCATTCATACCATCCACTGATACCACCATGGACAGAATGAGAAGAAAGTGTGATCTACAGAGCAACGAAAACAAAAAGTTGGTCAGAGAATGGATCCACTGGATTCTATATTCTACTAAGTGACTCTAGAGAGGAAGTGTCACATAGGGAAATTACAATGCATTTCACATATCAAGCTTTACCTTTTAGGTCTGGTTTCTGGTTTCATCTAAGGCTATTCAGCTGCTCTCTGATGAACAAAGATGTAAAATTTTCACACTTTGTGCAACATATAAAAATTGTACTACCAGGCTTGTTTTTATTATTCATTAGCCTACGGTTCATCACCTCTCTAGGTTCTCCAGCCCGCAGCTGAAAACTAATACTTTACTTCTACATATAGCCCAGGTGCTAGGAAAGACTCCACAGCTACATCTATGCCTGATATCCAGGAAAACACAAAAATAAAGCACAAAATTTGAGTCTACTGCACCTGTAAAGTCTAAATGGGCTTAAGTCTCAGTCCTCGCTTCTCAATGCATCCCTTGGCAAACCCTGGAGCCCCACAGACAGGTATTCTGTACCCCAGACAGCATTACCACTACGGGTCTTATTGGTGATCTGGGTTTGTTGGTGGTGGTATGCTTATTCTTTTCTTTGGTTTAGTTAACTTGACACAAACTGAAGTTACCTGGGAAGAAGGACCCTTCAAGAATTGCTTCTACCAAGTTGTGTCTGTGGGGCACTTCTTGATAAATGGTTGATGCGGCAGGGCCCATCCCACTATAGCTGGGGTAATCCCTGGGAAGGTGGTCCTGGGATATATATATATATAACAAAACAAACAAACAAACAAAAACCCAGCCATTAAAACTGTCTCCCTCTGTAATCTCTGGTTCAGTTCCTTCCTCAAGAGTCCTGCCTTAAATTCTTAACTTGGCTTCCCTTGAATATAATCATAACCTGTAAGCCTAAATAAATAAGCCCTTTGCTCCCCCAAGTTCTTTTTCATCTATGTTTTATCACAGCAACAGAAAAAGAAACAGATAATTTCCTTTTTGGT